TAATATGGGCTGGGGAAACTTAGATTACAAGGAAGAGAGTTTGCTCTTCTGACAACTCTTCTCTGTAGAGGTAAGACTGGAATGCAACAAAGGGATTTTAACAGAAAGGCTTTGTGTCCATTAGCAACACTCTTAGTGGAGAAATATGCAATTATTTGTAGGTTCCCCAGAAAGATTTATCAACAAATTCAGTCCTGCAAATCCATGTACTGTGTGGAGAGGAACTTTGAAAATGTCTCTCTCACAGCAATTTATTCACATTAACTGCAAAATCTACTCCTCAGAGCTTCCGGCATGAGTGCTGTGTCTGAGTTCATATATTCATCCTCTTTCCACTGATAACTGAAGAGCAAAGGAATGGCAGACAGCAGTCTTACACAGTGCCCTAGGGATCAAGGAATCCCAAGTAAAAACCTGTCAGGAACCATCAAGCACATTATCCCAGCTGAGATTTTCAGCCTAAAGGGCGGCTCCACAGCTAGGTCATTGACAGCAGCAGCTTGATACCGATCACATGGCTCAGTGCAGTCTTGCATTTAGTGTAACAATTTTGTCTTTTTCTCTCCAAAGCAGAAGACATGTAGGAATCCTGAGAGTATCTGAGGAACGCATTAAATTTTTTTTTTGCAATTGCTCATAAGATTATATCAGAGAGAATATCAACATTTTATGTAATATCCTAAAAGTATTGTTACCTCCCAGATGCTACTGATTTGGTCAAAATACACAGAACTAACACTAAAAAAACCCAACAACCAATGCCCCTCCCCCAAACAGTCATATTGAAAAATTCTAATGAATGGCTCCACCTCTCAGAAAGGGAATCTGGCACAACTTGTCAAAGCCCTAAGGACCTTCTCACTACTGTTTTTGCTGTTTGTACTATAATCGTACAAAGCACAGAGACGACACTCTACAATGCTCGATGCTGTAAAGTACATGCAGTACAATATCACTTCTGTCTTGAAGAGCTTACACTATCCTTTCAAACAAGATAAAACAAGTTACTCTGAAAAGGGGAAAGATGCAGAGCAGATGATAGCAAGATGACGATGATGATAAGGCCTACATACACAGATGCAAAGAAAAAAGAAAATCGATGGCTCTAAGCTAGCTCTAAGAATCTCTCCTCTTTATAAGCAGATAATTCAGCTTATTTCCAGTTGCCAATTAAGGTTGTCTTCAGCGAGTGGCTTAGTTCTCATGGGCATCCCATCTGTCTTGTGCCTGGCCCTTCCCCCTCTCTCTTCCCCCAAGGGTACTGAGACTTTTTTAAAGAGAAGGGCATTGTTTACTCTACAGATTTATTTCTGTAATGTTGTATAGCAATAAAGGATTGAAAAAGCCAAAAGTTCTTCTGATATCAAAGCCTATGTCTTTTCCAGAGTAAGCCAAGGGAACAGTATCATATTTGTCCCTAAGAAAAGAGTTGAACGAATTGTTCCAGCTAATCCAGACAGCAAGAGAAAATGAGGTAGTTGATACTTCTCACCATGATAACATCTTCCTACCCAAGGATCCCAAATTATATAGCACTGGCAGTCCTGTTACTCTGAAAAAAGCAAATGTTCTGTTTGTAAAACAGGGCTCTACACAGTGCAGAGATGGTATTTTGAACTGCCAGGCACACAGCAGATCTAAAAGCGGTATCTGACCCCCAAGCTCCTCAAACACACACATCATAAATGCCTTCTCAGATAAATACTGTTAAACTGTTGCAGGGGCATTCAAGTTAGAGCCAGCAGAAACATCCTTTACAGAAAAAGTGGCTCTCAGACAGTTTGCAGAGTCCAATGGAGTAGTGCTGCATCTGCAACCTAAAAGCAAGATGTCTTTCTCAGTCATGTTCCAGCTGGCAGGTGGTCAGGAGACATTTCATCAGAAACAAAAGAAAAGAAGTGTTTTGGGATAAGAATACACACTCAAAAAAAATGCCCTTTCCTGTTTCTCCAGTTCATTTGTGTTTGGTTTATCAAAAAAACAATGGAAGTGATGGGAAAAAGAGTTTCCTGACCAAGGTAAGTTATCTCTGGTTTTATTTCTGAGCTTTCCAAAGAGTCTTGAACAGAGTAGCATATCTACCTACATGCTGGAAGAAAAAGTCTCAGGCAAAAGGTTAGCCTAGAAGAAAAGCAAAATTTACTAGTAGGCAGTATCTTTGTCAATTTTTTTTTTTTTGCTGCTTCTTCCAGCTGAAATGAAAAAAAGACACACGGACTCCCTCTAAGATCCCAGAAAATATAAAGTGGGATGCTATGCACATTCCCTCTGCGTGATCAAATGCATTAATGTGGGGGCCCTGTTTTTCTTCAGTACAGGAAAGATCAAGAAAACAGGATGATAAATAATGTATAGGAGGGACATGTCCCTTTAAGATATGTTGGTACAGACATTAGGCTGGAAGAAGTAAAGCAGCACTAGTGTGTAAATACACAGAGGGCTTTCAAGAGTCTGTATTTCATGGAGATTCAAAAGCAGAGCAGAGACTCCTCAGGCTTGTAATGAACAAATACCAGTAGCATTTCAGCATATCTATAAAGATCAACCCTAAGAGAGGCATAATTCTACTTGTTTAGCTAAAAGATGTGGATTAATTGGCAGAAGGGTGATTGATCCCTATTCCTGTAAGGGTCAGGAGTGAGTCAGATGAGGGGAGGCTCAAGGTACTCCCAAGATTGAAAGCAGATGTCCACATGATTGGGACAAATGAACAATAGAATAAAGTGGGAGAAAAAACTATCCTCGAAGACTAAAATTGTCCTGGAAGGAAAAGTGTAGAGATGAAGGCCAGCCCTCGGCAATCAGCAATCCCAGTGCAAGGTGGTGGATAGCAGTGAAATACATATCCAGTTTCATTTCTCAGAAACAACTGGAAACACTCATTGCCAGCAAAACACTTACTGCTTGATCCATATAGAGCTACGTGACAACGTAATTTTCAGTTCTGAAATTTTACTCAGGTAAACTAAGCCTCAACAAAATTTTCTTAATTACCCAGAAAAATAGTGGTTATAACTGGTTCAAAGACTTGAAGTAACTCATGGTAAGGTGGGCCACTGCAGTGCATGAGGGAAAGGCCATGGTTGATCTTCAGTGGTGAATCCAGAAGGAGAGGTCCATGGAACACCACTCTATTGAAAAGTGTGCCCTCTGAGAGGAGTTTGGAGAATACCTAACACCCCTCCCTGACAGACTAACATCATAATTTCTGAAAGGTTACAGATGACATTAATTTACCCCATACACACTTAAAAAAACCCACGTTACTTGCTTGGGCCTGCCTACTAGCTTTCTAAACCTCAGGCTTGGTCTCTAATCTTAAGTGAGCATAAACAGGGAAAGGACATTGTGAAAAACTGGATGCCCTAATATTAAGTCCCTTCATCTCAAATCACTGTAGCATACTTCCAAACATGCACATTCCAATACTCTTCCTTAGAAAAACCTGGAACAAGAACAACACTGGGAGAGTGCCCACAAACCTTCTGGAATCTCACAAGTTATCTTTGAGTTTGAAGATGCTGAGATTAAAGATCAAGCTTTTTTGCTTGGGAGAGCAGCGTAGCCTTCAAAGCACAGCCTGAACAAATGTTGACAGTTAAGAGAATGAACTGCTGAGACAGTTGAGAGATCTGTTGGGCAGTGAGGGCTCACCACTAAGCCCTGGGAGCCAGAACATATGACACTTTCATAACAGGAAACTTTGCATTCTGAGTCTACACCCATGTTTCCTATCATTTATTCTCCACTTCTAATGAAGAATCCCACATTTTAAATCTTCACAGCTCTGCATGTTACTATGTCTATTTGTGCTTTGGTTCACGGACACAGTTTGATCTGCTAAACTTCAGACATATTATAAAAGAAAAAAAAAGAAAAAAGTGAATGACTGGTTCTATATTACAGAGAGAATGAACATGCAGCCTTTTCCTGTCTTTCATGAAATCAGAAACTCCACAAAACACTCACTGTGAACAAAAAGCCATTGTAAAAAAGTTGTATTCTTGAAAATAAATGGAAAAGATCTCTAGCACCTAATCAGAGGGTTGTGCTCTATGGTGAGAGTTTTGTTTATTATAGTGGTCTTGAATTACTAGTTATTCTTTCAAAGGTAGAAGAGGAACAGGAAGTAAAAAGAAGATGGTCATCACATCAAGATGAAGAAATACTACAGAGAAGTAATGTGAACAGTTTCACCGCATGGAAGACCTCTTGGTCATCATTTAATTTTTTAAGTATATATGATCAGAAGGTTAAAAAAGGTCCCAAAGCATCAACTTGAAATTAGATGCAAACAAAATCCAATCTGGAGAGATGCCTGAATGACAATTTCAGCTGGGTATTTCAAAGCCACCTCGCCTTCAACTCTGCCAAAGAAATCATGTTGGTGGGTGGAGGTCACTGTAGTCACACTCTTTATCTTAAGCTCTTGTTTACTGACTATTTGCTCAGCTGCCTAATGTTAGTATTACTTTCCGTGGACAGAAAGCACACAGCTTTTCCCTCAAGAACCTTTTTGCTAATTAGTAGGAAGAGATTATCTGTGCTTATGCTCAGTATTTAAGGACTTATGGTGGTTTTAAGGGGGGAAGAGGCATTCTATTAAAGCATTCAATAGGACAACAATCACACGAGGAGAAAAACAGTTCAAATTCATACTCAGAAAAAGAAAGAATGAGTGCTGCTGAAACCAGTATCTGCTTTTGATACTAATAGTCCTGATTAAGACAAGCAGAATTTGATTTTCTGCCAAAATGTTTTTAAAAGCTCTGTTCCCCAAAGTGATTGCTTCACATGAATGTTTGTAATAGAAAAGGTACTGAACTGTATGAAACCCATGCACGTTTCCAAAACATGCTCGGGCAGCCCTTGGCTAACCCAGTGAAATCCAGCATTCACAACATAATCAGCATGTGTCCAGCTCCATTCTCCATGTACCCTGTCTTTTTCCAAATACCCCCCTCAGGCTGGTCCTATTGGCAGTGTCCTGATGTACTTACTATTCAGTGAAGAACCTGGCAATGCCATACTGACTAATATCTTCTCTGTTCTCCAGCAGCTGGCTCACTGCATCCTCCATGTACGTGAGGACATGTCTTTGAGCTGCAAATAAAAGACAGTAAGAAACAGAAGTTAGAATACAAGGAGCCTGCAAAGCCCAGAGCCAGACAAGCCCAGTTGTGCTGGGCTTTACACAACAAGCCAATATGCATTTGCTCCCTCAATTACAGAGTAGAGGTTTCTTTCTCCCAGATATGGATAGCAAAATTCCTAACCTAAATCCTGCTTTCCTTTCTGGCTACACAGTTAGTCATTAACAATGCTGACCCTTTTTTAGAATCCCCGGAGATTCTGGTGTTGAAGGGAGAGGATAAGAAGTTGTGAGACTGCTTCACTGGAATATGCTCACTCAGGAGGAGTTCCTGATCTGTGTTCGGAGTCACAGCCATCTTTATAAACAGATCATCGAAGACGTTTCAATAGGGCTGTTGCAAAGCTTTGGGTGTTCCCTGCCCTTCCCTCTTTACCAAAGCCAAGTAGCTCTAAGGTTGTTCTGTAAAGGTTTTTTCCTAAAGGTGCAAATAAAAGTACATCTGTTTCCAAACAAGCATCAGTGAATGTGGCAGGTGGGGAACAGGTCTCAATGCCAAGAGAGATTTATATTGCTCAACAGTCAGTCTCAAATTACTGCCTAGGCCAAACACGAAGGAATTTCAGAAGTGGTGGATCTGCCACTACCCAACCACAGAGTGCCACTTGCTTTATAAGACTCCTGAGTAAAGACAGTTCAGTAAAACACAAACTGTTTTGCTGCTTCTGTAGGGGCAGACTCTACAAATCAAGCACTTGCCAGGGAGGAAGCAGCACAGATTTGCCACTGAGCCCCTTTGATGTTTTTGGCTAGAAACCAAGTTGGAGCAACAAAGAGCCGAGTCTGAGGTGATGTGCCAGCACCAAGCAGTAGACTTTCCAAATCTACAAGTTCAGTGATCAGAAGGCAAGTTACAACGAACCCAGGAAAATCATTCCTAACCTGGAAAGCACACAAACCCTGTTCCCAAAGCACACAGCTCCATCCTAAACATGTATGCTACTGCATCTTTGCAAGTAGTGTCATGTCCTAAAAAGAGCAGGAGAAACCCCTTAGGGAATATAGGAAAGGCAAGGGCTGTTCTTGCTCCATGCCAATCTGCTCCAGACTTAGCAGCATCATCCCCTCACCAGCAACTGGCCAACCTCAGACCCACACAAATATTCTTCAAACCATTTTAATTTGTGCTTAATATCCTGGTAAGCATCAAGGCTGCACCACTTGATACACAGCATGGAAGTCCCTTTCATCTTAGTGTGGGGCAGGTGGACTTCAAGAGAGGCCCGGAAATTATTATTCCCAGTGGATACAGTGATTAAAAGTATGTATGAATATTGATTGCTATCAGGGGATTTCTCTGCCTGGAACACTTTTCAGGACAATGGTAAAATTGGTTAAGCACACCCTGGAAAATACCTTGCAGCTGATAGCAAAAAGGTTTAAAGATATTATCTGGCACTAAAAGATATAGGGTGTAGCTTTATTTAATTATTTTAATGTGAAGGAATAAATTTAATTTATGTGAGTGATTAAAGAAAAATAGCTCTGCGCACCTGTGTCCCCTGAGGGAAGAATGAGTCCTGCAGCTCAGTCATAGGCTCAAGATAGCAGCAACTGTGTAACTTTACTTCAGCCCATCTTCCTCCCTCCTCCTTATGCAGTCCATCTTACACTCAGCAATGGTGTTCCCAGGCCCCTCTTGAGCTGTCAGTGGTACCAGATCAAGCCAGGAAATCAAGCCTGGCAGACAGGTTTCCTCTCAGCCTGCACTAAACCTCTGCTAAATGGAAAAACCATTCTCAAAACTTTCTGCAGAAGTATACACTCCTTTCATAGAATAGCCCCTATCAATGAACCATATTTCTGTTATTTTGCTTCTTTAGAGTCATAAACCTCTCTCCTAAAAACCTATCGGAACAGACAGGCATGGTCCCACAGTGCTACACAGCACAGTGTAAGCTGACCTCTATAACAAATACCTTTGAATCTGCTCCTGGAGAATAAATTAACTTTCAACATAGAATTTTAGACATTTCTATCACATTTCAAAATGTACAGAAATACATATAGGTCACTAGTAAATACAGTAGCTGGTAAAAGAGTATTTCTGTTAAGCTTTTTGTTGCACAGCCTAAGGATCTGGGCAAAGAGCTTCTCTCCCTATTTCCCAGAAGGTGGGTAGAGGTGTAGGGGAGGGAAAAAATCTGTGAACAGAGAAGCTGAAAGAAAATAGCACTTGCAATCTTCTGAGAAGTCCCCTTCTTTGTCTCCTTGGCTGCTGTGCTGTTTTCCAGGTAGCACTGTTCACTCTGCCAAACCAAATTCCAGCTCTGGCTTCCTGTTCACTGACTACCCAGTTCCATGGAACAATGCAAGTAGTAAGTTTTATAACCCAACTAACTCTACCCTACACAGAAAAGTCAAACAAAATGTAATTTGCAGGCAGGTTTTAGCAGGCCAGAGAGGCAAAATAAAGTGCCAGGAGTCTGGTTATAGCAAAAGAATAGTTCCTTAATTTATACAAATGGTACTTTCCACAACAACCATTGGAACCATACAGGAACATTAACTATTTATGCAAGCATAGTCAAAAATCTGTGGGGTTCTGTGCAAAATATATGAGATGAGTCATATCTTTTAATGTTTTTTGAAAATTCAGGGATAATGATGTATTGGTATACATATTGCTCATATTTTTGAGGCCCACTTTGCAATAACAAGGCAGCAAGTCCAAATCAGAATGTAAAGCCCAAATAGTCACACCACTATGCTATTATAGCTTGTTGTCTCTAATAATTTTCTTCCTGACAGAACTCCAGAATACTGCAGCTTCCACACAGTCACTAAGTAAGCATGCCTGCCTCACTCGATAGGTGCTACTCTTTGCTCTCAGATTTAAGAACTAACAGGCAGCTTTCACAGAGGGATCTGACAGAATAAGTTCACAGAGGAGCTTTCAGGCAGGCAGCCCGTAACCTGATGTTAAGTAAATACCTTTGAGCAGAACATCTTAATTCTTATCACTAAACCACTAGCAGTGATGTTACACTTGGAGCCTCTGTCCAATCAGTAGCAACATGCACAGCACAGCTGCTCCGAAGCCGGCTCCTGCAGCACTTAAAAGAATGGCCTCCAATGGTGTTACCACCACACTCACGCGGTCACATCCTACCACCACTCACATGCCCAGTGCTTAAAATGAATTTTGGAATGAATGCACTTTTGGCTCAGAACCAAATTCAGGGCTGAGCAGTGGCTGTTCAATTCAAGCTTGGCCAGACCAAGTCACACAAATCTCCTCCAGCTTACAAGTAAAAGGCACAATGAGGATTACATCCACAGTCAATCCACAATCTCATTGAACTTCTCTACAACAGATTACACAATCACAACTAATTCCACTTAGCCATAAGAACACCAAATAATTTTGCACACATATTTAAAATAGTAAAAAGAGTCTTTTTATAAGACACCAAATTACTTGTTTCAATCTACTTGTGAGAAAAAGAATCCACTAATTTATATGTTTTATTACAAATGTGGTAAGAACAAGCATTGATATTTTGAAAGTCTTGAAGGAAAATTTAATGCAAATAATATTGCTACATGAAACAGAATACATGGACCGAAATCCTTGAACACAGAAGTTCAGGAGGAAGGAAGGAAATACATGTCACCTTTAAGTCATGATACTGCATATACGTAATGGTTTTATTATCAGCAGTGCTCAGGAATGGAGAGGATTAAGACCTTGGAATTGCCACAGTACTGTTTGCATCAGTTACATGATACTTACTTCAGCACACATTGGCAACTCCATCACGTTAACCATACTGGTTTTACATATTAGTTTCCCAGTTTGACAACTTAGATGCAATCCCCTAATGCTACATTGATGATAAGCTTCTTCTTCCAACAAGACTGAGTTTCCTAAAGACAGAGATGAAAAACTGAACATTAGTATACCAGCACACTTACCAAGAAGTGATGCTGCCTGTCATACTTGAAAGGAATAGCAAAATACGTGATGACCAGAAGATAAAATTAAAAATCACAGCAGATAATGCAAATTAAAAATAAAGTGTGCCAAATCATGGCTAGAAGTAGCTCTGCAGCGTTTAACATCCTGCTTTGCTGAGGCTGCTGAGCTTTTTGGGCTGGAAGTCAGCTTAAAGAAGACAGAAGTTTTCTATCAACCTGCACATCGGGAAGTCTTCCATCATCCCCATATCACCGTTGGCGAAGCAGAGCTCAAATCAGTCCAGCAGTTTAATTACCTAGGCAGCCTCATCTCCTCTGATGGTAAGATTGATGGAGAGATAGACAACAGGTTAGCAAAGGCATATAGTGCCTTCGGAAAGCTTCATAAAAGAGTTTAGTGAAATAAACACCTGAAGAAAAGTACAAAGATCAGTGTTTACAGAGCCATAGTGCTGTCTACTCTTTTATATGGATCCGAATCATGGGTCATCTACCGCCACCACCTGCGACTCCTAGAATGCTTCCACCAACGCCGTCTCCGTACAATCCTAAACATCCACTGGTCAGATTATGTGACCAATACATCTGTTCTAGAACAAGCAGCAGTCACAAGTATTGAGGCCACATTGGTGAGAACGCAGCTGCGTTGGGCAGGACACGTCTCAAGGATGAAGGACCACCGCCTCCCTAAGATCTTGCTTTATGGTGAACTTGCCACCGGCTGCCACAAGAGAGGAGCCCTGAAGAGGAGATACAAGGACTCCCTGAAACAATATCTCAGCCTTGGCCAAATTGATCTTTATCACTGGTCTACTCTGGCCTCCAATCGGGAGGTCTGGAGACACATATCTATAAAGTGTGCCAAATAACCTGAAGAAAAGGTATGATTGGAATAAATTGGTATCAGACGGTAAAAGATGTATCACATCCCTTGTTTAAAGAAGCAGCAGAACAGAGCCATACAGGTTACTTACAGAGGTAAGTTCTTATTTATAAAATTATTATCAAATCATCTATTACATTATTGCTG